CCTAGTATTCAGTAGTGACACCCGACATATGAGAGCACACATCATATCATTAGGTGCTAACCATTCATCAACTTTAGAGCATTGGTTTTGACTGCAGTTCCAGACATTGTATGGAAAAGATTGACAATAATATATGATAATGTAATCAGATATCTATATAACTGATAAAATATGAGAGCAAATAACAAACAAAAACATATCTATTGTGGCGTTCATTGCAAACCCATTTACTGACTGATCCCACAAATTATCTCAAACTTTACCACCGATTCAACCGCTCATATCATCCGCGCGTTAACCCTTAAGACACGTCAATCCGTAGCCATGAATTTAAGACATAATTTAACATTTAAAATGTTTTGTAAGCAAAAGTCACATTTTCATTGTTTCATATTTTACAGTTATTTGAATTATAAGAAATAATAGAGTTATATATAAATTATAAATTGATTTAAATTTAATGCTAATCATTGCTTAATTATTTTACAATATTTACAAGCAGAGTTTTCTCTAAAATCTAGTATTCATTGATAAATAAAATATTTCCAAAATAATTGATTGCATATTAGAATTTTGTAGCATGTTAGTCTAAAACTTTAATTAGCAAAAAAAATGTTTACTAACATTTAATTTTATATTCTTACTAAATATACATTTTCGATGTTTGTTATACATTGCTTACAAACTAGTATCACAATTATAATTTACTAGTTAGATCAGTTTTATAAGATTAGTTTTATACTAGTAATAATTTAAACAAACATTTTTAATTTAACAAAATTTAGGGTATTATGATAAATAATTTATAAGAAATATTTTATATAATTAGTAGTGATAAATAAAAAGTGATTATCGTATTAATGCAAATCAAATGTTTATCTATTTTAATCATTCGCCTCAAAAAGATTAATCATTTTAAGATCTATTGTAATAAATTAGAATTTATTGTCGTATGTTTTTTGCTAGGATATTTTATGCTACTTATTTTGCTAACTCTTTTAGGACAATATTCGTAAAATAATTGACTCAAATACAGAAACTATCAAAATGTTTAGAACTAAAATGAATAAAACTATAAATACCTTTAACCAGAATATGTATTGTATTACGAGTGGAATATCTGACAATCCGTTGAATATAAGCCACTGACACCTGAGAAGACTATGTGAGCACTGGTATCTTATTGTGCTTATTTAATACATAGTGGTACTCGCATTAGTCTAGGCACATGCACTGTACAGTAGTGGCACATGCATTCATCCTATATCTATGGTTACAGTAGTGAGACTCTGTAGAAGATGTGTTCTCTGTTACCGTCTAATAGACAGCAAATAGAGAATAGAAAGCATTCACTCGTAATTCCATAAAAGGAAATAACATTACATTACATATGATTGGAAGTCGTGTTGTGGAGGGAGGTATTAGTGGCATCCAATGGCTTTCAATGCATTGAAGGACTAATGAAGAGCTCCTCAGATTTCATGGGTTATGGGTTAGAATTTTTAGTCTCAATTTTGTCTATTATTTATTTATTGCCTTTTTATTCCTGTCTTTCCTTTCAATTGATGACCTAATTATTGCATAAACTCACAATTTATATTTACTAATGCAAATAATTATTTTCTCAAAAACTCGTCATATGTCTGTTTAACTGACTTTATAATAATCTACACTGGTATACTGGTAATACTGATCATAACTGACTCCAATAACTGGTTTAAAAAGACTTAAAAGTCATACGATTTAGAGCTCAATGTAAATTAGCATATGTATCTATTATTTTATTGCTATTCAAACGGATATACCTTTTCTTAGGCGAATAATAACTAAACGCAACATTACGTACAAAGTATAAAATGATGTAAAATGTATTCAATGTTATGTAATATGAAACAACACTTCTCGTTTGATAATAATATTTTATTTCATCAATATTTTAAATTCATTACAATTGCTGTAAAGTAAACATTTAATTTAATCCATAACTTATAATAAATCCATAAATAATTGTTAAGTTTTACTTTTCACAGTAATTCCCTTTTTACTAATTTGCACCAATATTTACATTTTATTTATTTTACTAATAAAATTGTTATGGGTTAGACTTTTATAGAATAATGCATTTATTATATATTGAAGACACTTTACCAACGATACTGACTATTACTATACTCTTTGAGTGCTTTTTATTGATTGTCAGTTAGTTTGAGATGTGTTTTGGTTGTGTTAATGTGTGATAATTGAAGTGATTGTCTATATCTTAGAGTTAATCAACTGAGGGATCAGTTATGGGTACTCGAGTATACGTGGGACGGATCAGCTATGATGTCCGGGAAAGGGATATCGAGAAGTTCTTCAAAGGATACGGAAGGATACGCGAGATCCTGATGAAGGATGGGTTCGCTTTTGTCGTAAGTTGTCTCACGAGATGATTGGTGTCTCAATGGATGGTTGGATCTAATGGTGTGATGTATTTGTCTATCCGTTTGCGTGGACCAGGAGTTTGACGACCACAGGGACGCCGACGACGCAGTCTATGAGCTGAACGGCAAAGAGCTATTGGGCGAGAGGTATGGCAAACGCTTTCTTTGCTTGAGTCTAACATTTAGTTATTACTGGATGTCCTGATTGGCGGCCATTTAGTTGACCACCAATTGATGTCTCTGTCGAGGGTTAGGAGAGGATAATAGTTGTTAACCGTTAGATGTGATTAACACCGGATGCCAGTCAGTGATAGTGTTAATGAGTTTGACATAAATTACTATAGAGTTAGCGATTAGACCACTAATACAAGTAAAGAATAGTTATTATAAGCGATTGTTTAGCCAACCAATGAAACCAGAGTTGAGTGCATAGGATGTTAGGAATGATAACTGAAGCCACTTCAGGATAGGGTCTTCGAGCGGAGACACACAACCTCTTATACCACACCTACTGTTGTACTGGAATCAGTTGAGCGCTGTATTGGATGTCTGTGTCTATGCCTCCCATAGAGTCTCAGTGGAGTTAGCCCGGCGTTCAACCAAAAGACCATTCTTTAGCCGCTCCTCCTTTAGCTCCTCTTCCGGCTCTCGCGGTGGCCGAGAGAGACGTCCGCGTAATAGTTGGATTGACAAGTAAGCAGACGTTTTGTTTTAACTGTTCTCCCGTTCCCTTCTCGTCCGCTCTGGCCGGGTATGACGGATGACGACAACCCCAGAGTGCACGTAGAGTTCGCTAGAGGCCCGTCACGCGGTCGCGCCCGCTTCAGACCATATGGCGGTGGCGGCGGGGGATCGTCACGTGGAGGAGGAGGCGGAGGGTATTATAGTAGCAGTCGTGGTGACAGACCTTCTGGCGGACTTACTTACGCTGAAAAGTAAGACATTTAAACCGTTGTCCACCGCAATGACCCCCGCATTCACGTTCGCACCGACGCCCGCCCACATGTTCGCCGCGCCGACCACCAGTTGTCACCGGCACTGACTGGCCCGACACACGAACATTCTGGCCGTCCGTTTATGCAGTTTTGTGTAGCTGTTAGTCGAGAGTCCATCTGACCATCGCTTGTCTCTGGATTATGTCTATGCATATACTCCCGGGTATATGTGTAGTGATTTAGTGTTTTGTATTATGCAAGGGTTAGGTCAGGCCCCACCACCGCCCACTCCCCTCACATACATTAAATAACACGCCCACCAGAAGTGTCACCGGAATTGACGATTGTTTTGCCGAATATTTGGTCACTATTTTGACCCCTTTTCTCATCTTTTCTCACTATTTTGTTTGTCATTCTCTACTCTATCCGTGTATTTGTCTCAATACTTCTCAAATGAATCTTTCATTTTTCTAATTGTCATTTTGAAAGCAATGTTTTAATGACTGCTTCAACAGAACATATGATTACATGTCTTCCAGATATGGTCCTCCGAGGAACACCGAGTATCGGGTCATCGTTGAGAACCTGAGCTCCAGAGTTAGTTGGCAGGTATGTCGCACCCATTACTGTCTCACTTCTATGCCTATTATATATCTATCCATTTATGTCCTATATTTGTCAGTCATTTATATATATATATTTATATTTATGATAACGTTTACCGATAATGCAGTTTATAAAGATAGGCGTGTCCCCGAAAAATGTGTTCCCATTTGTGGACACGACGTGCGGAACATATTTTTCGGTGAATTGAGATCTTTTTGATTAAGTGAAGGGACAGTTAGTGCTATGTTTTTGTTTGTTATTTGCTCTCATATTTTATCAGTTATATAGATATCTGATTACATTATGATATATTATTGTCAATCTTTTCCATACAATGTCTGGAACTGCAATCAAAACCAATGCTCTAAAGTTGATGAATGGACGGCACTGACCTCCACGGCCGCCGCATCAAGATGATGGAGGACAAGACCCGGCGCCGGTCGAGTAATTTTATTTTTGATTTTGATTTAGTTGTGATTTATATGAACTATAAGTTTTTCGTTTATATTGAATGTAATGAACCGCGCATTTGAACTATAATTAAACACTTCATCACTACATACGATATATGTTTGACTCCTTTTTATGATACAAATTTCCAAATAAAAGTTAGTGAAGGGACAGTTAGTGCTATGTTTTTGTTTGTTATTTGCTCTCATATTTTATCAGTTATATAGATATCTGATTACATTATCATATATTATTGTCAATCTTTTCCATACAATGTCTGGAACTGCAGTCAAACCAATGCTCTAAAGTTGATGAATGGTTAGCACCTAATGATATGATGTGTGCTCTCATATGTCGGGTTCACTACTGAATACTAGGCCTCTCAATGGGTGTCCAATTCCTCTCAAATGCATTGTCGCTCAATACTGAATGAAATTGAAAGCTCAGGTGTTATGACAGGACAGACACTGACCCGTGAGACAGACGTTA